TTTTGTTGTAGAGAGCAAGAGTGAAACAGAGTTGAATAAAAGAGTTGACTTCAGAGAGAGCTGATACTGGCTTGGGCTGTGATTATAGTTTAGCAGAATATTGTTGGGTATCATTATGTTGACACTCTTTTCTTCAGTCATGTTTGGAGATCTGCCTTTTCTAAACAGAAATGGTGGAGGTGTGGATGGGTGGGGAGGTAGAGGGGATGTGGGGGTAGGGACTGGGAGGAGAGGAGGGAGGGAAGCTGTGGTCAGGATGTAAAATAATAAATCAATAAATGGAAAGAAGATTGTAGTAGCTTTAATAGGTTGTATTGTGTTCCCAAAGATATGTTAGAGTCCTAACTAACCCTGAGTCCATGTAAGTGTCCTCATAAGATCTTTGCAGATGTATTATGAGACCACACTGGATTAGGGCAAGCCTAGTTCATCATGACTGGGATGTAGATCCCCACCCCTGGGTGTGGGGGAGACCACTGGGTGATGACCATTGAGGCAGAGGATAGGCTGATGTGAATGCAAGCCAAGGTCGCTAACAGAAGCTAGTAGGAGGCAAAGGCCCCTGTGGGTCACGGTGGGGCTGTGACTCCACCTACACCTTGATGATTCTGAACTTGTGTTAGATAATACAGTTCTGTCATGTCAAGCCATTTATTTTGAGGGAGGCCTTTTGGTGTCGGCCTTGGGAAACTGGTAAGAGATGGCTTGGAGGTAGGAATTTCAGGAATTATAGATAGATTGAAGGTAGGAGGTGAAGGAGAAGGAGAGCAACTGAGGACAAACTTGTGGTCAAGCGACTGGGGAGACGGTTGATGGAGCGAGTTTGGGGACAACTCAAAGGGTGACTTATGAGTCACCAGCTGAGCCTGGAGATAATATCTGAAGGTCATTAGCATATAGATGACACTGAAATAGTGAGAGTAAATGAAATCACTCAGGAAAAATACGTTTCTGACTGGCCTTAAAAAGCCCTAGTTTGAAAAAAAAAAGATAGCTTCCAATTTCAGATGCTTTTAGATTTGTTCTGGATCCTGGTGGGAATGTGTTTTTTCCCCCTGAAACCCTCTACAAGTTGAATTCAGTGTGTATTTCCTTTCCTGACCTGGTTAAGTTCAGCCTACATTTCTGTTATTTGATCACGATTGAAAGCATGTTCAAAATTTTCTGAAACTTACTCCATCAAGAGGGAGAGAGTCTGGACCCTCACGGTGGCATACACTTTTACTCTCAGAACTCTGGAGACAGAGGCAAGCTGATCTCTGTGAGTTGGAGGCCAGCCTGGTCTGTGTAATGAAGTCTTGTTTCAAACAACCAGAGAGTTGGGTTCTGCTCTTCCACTGAGCTCTATTCCTCCCCTGTTCCATAGCGTGTTGTCTTGGGATTCACTTTGGCCAATAAGTGTTATTGAAGCAATGCTCAGCTAGTTTCAGAGCTTAGTTTCCAGCTAGTGATTTTGCCTTCTACCTGGGCTCGAGTGCTTAGTTGGAGAGAGAGCTGGGTGGAAGCCATCTTGGATTAACGTTGCCTAACTGCAATTGAATGAGTGACTGCAGGGAGGGCAAGCAGAAGAATGGGTTGACCCACAGAGTTAGGAAAACAGCCGACTGCTGTTCTATGGTGTGAAGTTTCAGGGTGGCTGGTTGTACAAAGCAACACTTTGGCTTAGAGCTTACAATCTATATAGGCAGGATAGTATGGAGGGAGAGCTGTGTGCTGCTCAGGGTCATAGGGACAAATAAGAAAGCAAGATTAGATGGAAATTCAAAAGGTCACAGGATAATGCATCATTCACAAAATGATAAAATACAAAAGGCATATTTCAGAGACAAAGTGGTATCGGTTAAGTCATTCCTTCAACAAATACTTAAGATTCTGTGCTCTACCGTGTGCCTGGCAGCGTGGTAGGCGAGGGACATAGAGGAGAATAAGATGAACTCTGTCATGGACTCATGGCATTTGCTGCTGGGTGAGCAGCATTCCTGTGGGTAGGACAGCCATGGAGGTTCCTTATGATAGTCACTGTCCTTGACCGACATCTTACTAGGGCCCATGCACTCACTATTCATTATCTTACCACCACCAACATGTGTGGTGGGGACTCTTTCCCATTGTATACATGTGGTTGGGTCAGGATTGCACAGCTGGAAATAGGATGAGGCACCAGCTGTTTGGCTGTTAGGCTTCAAGTTTCCTACTAGGGCATCTGGTGACCATTAGTCTTCCATCTGACTCCAAGGCAGTTTGTAGGTTCACAGTGGGCATGGTGTATCCTCAGGTTAGACAAAGTCCCTTTACTGGGCTGGTGGCTAGCCCCGGGAGGCTCGGTGCCAAATGCTGTGGTCATCATTACCTGCACAAGGACAACAAGGGTCTCAGCAGGAATGAAAAGGCCCAGTGAATCCAGATCGCCACAGCTCTCTGTGGAAAAGACCCCATTTTGCCAAATAGTCTCCTCTATATAGAAATGTCCCCTCCGGCATGATTTTCTTAACTGTCTTGGGTTCACAGCACAGTGAGTGGTTAAATGTAAGTGTATGGTAAATGTTCCTTGCCATTTGGGACTGCACATTTGGACCTGCTATGGCTTATTCCAGCTATGGGGTGGTGTCCAACGACAGGAAGCTAAGACAGAAGGCGTGTGTGTCACTGTGTCTTTTAGAGAATCAAGTCAGGGAGCCATTGTGGACTAAAGGCATGGTACTGCAGCTGTCACAAGCCTGCAGCGGCTGCTGTCCCGAGAGTGGGACCAAGGAGGAGGGAGATGGAGGGAAGATTCCAGCCAGGGGGGACGAGGCTCAGAATTCAGGATGGGTTACAGGCACACAAGGACATGCGCCCAGAGGGCCTGGGATGACTCCTAGGCCTGCAACGGCCTAGATGCTCTTCCCAAAGTGGAAAATTTCAGCCTCTACCCAGGCAAACACTCTATCAGCTCAGTGACAGCTCCATCCCTCAGTCTCCACCTGATGTGGGACGTTCTCTGCAGGGAGGCCATTCTTACTGGTTTGGGAACAGTGTCAGTGTTGGCCACCATTTCTGAGAGGGAGGGACACAGGGTTCTGACAAGTCATGCTGACTTGCCTTCTAGACTTCACAAAGTGTAGGGGTCACTTCAAAGATAATTACCACATCTCTCTTGCTTCCTGGCAGACATCTGCAGAAACTACATCTTTGTAAGTCCTGAGATGGAAGGCTACCGTATGACTGTAGGTCATTTCTACATCAACAAACTGACCCTTGGCGTGACCGGGATCCTTAGAGGGTCTGGATGTTATTTAACAATTGTTGCTGTTTTATAGTTTTCTGAGATAGCCTTGGCTTTGTCATGGATGTAACAACATTGTAGACTGAAGAATTGGAACATCAGCAGGGATGAATAGTAGGAAGGGACCCTCCAGGCCAGGGCTCAGTGTGTGGCCTAGAGAGCTCTCCAATGGAGGGTACCTTTCCCCCTTGGACATAGCTGGCCTTCCAACTGGATAAGCCTTTACGTGGCATCTGGTAGACACCTCACCAGAACCCAAAACCAAATCTCAAATATGTCCTTTTTCTCTTTGTAAATAATAGTTGCTTTGTATTTCTGATAGTGGTAGCCAGCATTGACTAGATATTCTCCACATTCCAGAAACTGTGGTAAACACTTCATGGAGATTATCAGGTGTTGGAACCAGGAGCTAATATAAGGCCTAAGTGTGCTTGCTTCCCCCAACTGAGACAGGAAAACATGCTCTTGGAAGAAAGCTTGTGAAACATCAGCAGAGTCAACTTGTATATCAAAAGAAAAAAAACAAGTTAAAAAGCTAGATAATCTATAGTCTTTGTACAGAGAACACACGGTTAGTATTTTTCCAGTTAGATATTTGTGTAAGTTTTAAGCAAATGACCCGAAGCATTAATTTATAGACTGTTTTCCCCCACTTTGCAGTATATTTTGAACATATTTTCTAACACCTTGATTTTTAGTGGCTGCACAGCACTTCGTTATATAGGAATCCATAATTTACTTTTAAAAACTCCCCCTGCTTTTGGAATGTTAGGTTGTTTATACATTTTTTAAATAAATAACACCATGAGTAGCAACTGTGTGCGTGCGTCTTTGCAACTCAGAGGCCTGCCCAAGGATAAATTCTTGGAAGTACTATTTCTGCATCAAAAGGCTTGCACACTGATTGCAGAAACACCTTCCAGAAGGTTTGCACTAGTTTATTTTTTCACTAGCAGAGTTTGAGAGTCTCTGTTTCTTTACAACTTTGTTAGCATTGTCTGGCCCATTATTTTAAAAACTTTCATAGTTTCCTCTGGTGAAAGGTATCCTTTTTTATTAATATTGATATCACGTTCTTTATGTTGACTGAACATTTGTTCTTTTGCCGATTGCCTTTACTTTTGTTGGAATTGCTCATCATTTTTTTTACTGACTTGCATTTGCATTTTGCACATTAAGCTGTGACATGACCTTTTATCAAGTATGTTGATGTACACCATATATGCTTTTTATCTTTTTTTAACATACAGAAAACTAAAATTTTGTTGTAATCAAAATTTCTGATTTTTTTTTTTACTGTTTTTCCTTTTAGTACTGCACGGGCTTGCCCCCACTTGGCCAAACTGGAGAACACTGAAAGTCTGCAATGCTGAGATACTGGGACTCTGAGGTTATGGAATTCTGAGAGACCACTTTAAGTAGATGTGAAGTCAGGCACTCACTACATAGGGACAAAGCTCATGGGGCCTGCTGACAGGGATCTGGGTGGAAGCTCTTTTATTCTTGGTAATTCTGTCCCTATCCTCTCTCTCTTGAATATTTCTGTCTGTGTGGATGTTGCTGGTTTGTTCATTTTACAGACAGTATGTAGCTCAGGCTGACCTCGAACTGTGAATTTCCTGCATCTATCTTCCGAATTCTGGCATTACAGGTGTGCACCATACCTAGTTATGGGGTATGGGGGGCTTTGTGCCTGCTAGAAAAACACTCTACTGACTCAGCTACATCCCTAGTCCAGGAGGGTCTTTCTAAGCTTGAAGGATTTCCAGTCTCAGGGAAGAGGAACAGCCCAAGGTATACTGCTAAACTGCCTTGTGGAAGCAGCAATAACTGCATTATCTTCAGATGGTAGCATTTACTAATTTCTGTGGTGTAAATTCTCTCTCTGTGACTGACTTTGCACAATGCCCACAATAGTTGACTAGTGGATCACACAATGAAGCTCTTGTTGCTCAGGAACTGTCTTCAGCAGACTGCTGGTGACACCTTCCAAGACTGCCAGCATCTATGTCAAATGGAACCAGGCTCAGCTCAAGGCCTCAGGAGGAGGACTCCATTTCTCCCCAATCAGGGTCATTTTCCCTGTGTTATTCAGCCACTTCAAAGCTTAAGGGCAGGCAGGATTCCGGCACTGGGCATCTTAACAGATATAGAGTTGACCCACTTTCAGAGGCTCCCTGACGCAGTGGAGATTATTGCCTGTTTCTAGAATGGTCCTGCTAATCTCTCCCATGGCACTGATTGCTTTGCTACTAACTAGCTGTGTGACCTCCAGCAGACAAACTACTCTCCGTGGGCCTCCGCATTCTTATCCGTGAAATGACGTGGTCAGAACTGATGTTCCCCGAGTTCTACTCTAACCCTACCATCCTGTAATTATATGGATCTTAGAATGACAGTAGTATTTAACAGGAACGATATCACTGAGGCACTGTCCAGCGTGACTCACAGTCTGTGCAAAGCAGAGAACTTGTAAAGCCACTGGGGGAAAGAACGTGCTGTTGGTAAGTGTAACACAGAACTTAGTAATGTAACACAAATTCCAAAAGGGGAAAAAAATACTGAGCCACATGTCTTCATTGCAGGAGAGTGACACCTTGGATGATGATGGGGTTAACAGATTCCACTCTGATGCTACCTGGGGTGCCCGTGGGAGCATCTAAAGGTCCACTCGGGAAATCAACAGGAACTCGTTTAGATAGATGACTCCGAACCATGGAGGGATTATCCAGGGCCAATCTTGCCTTCATGCCTTTGACGCCTAATGACTCAGGTACCTCAGATTTCCTCGGTCTTCTTGCAGCCTTCGGGGAATCCCTCTGATGAGATCAGGTGGTACAGTTAGCAGCAGTGGATTAGAAACGGGGAGGTTTATTTCCTTTTGCTGTAAGGCTCCTGTAGACTTTTTTTCCAGCCCAGGTCGCAGATACATCTGCTGGGACAGATAAGTGACCCACAGTTGGGGCATTCCCGGTGTTGTGGATCCAGGTTGGACTTGGCTGCTGGCTGCCGTTGTGGCTCAGATCTTCAAGTGGCTCTTGGTGTTTGTTTTCTGGGGTCACTGCACGGCCCTCACCACATGCTCTTAGCAATGGCAGAAAGACACACAATGCTTCCAGAGGCATTGGAGGAGTGTGGCTTCTCCTCTCTTCTCTTCATTTTCTATTGGCCATGGCAAGTCGCTTGGCCAAGTCACACATCCCCGGGCAGAGATTTCTGTTCCACACAGACCACATCATCACAACAAGAAGTGACTCTGAGAACAGGAGGTCTGGAAATCTCAGAATAGCCATGCCATCTGTGAGAGTGGATGGCCTATTTCCTCCTGTCATACCGTAGTCCTAGAAGAGGAGTACTCCTCACTCAGGCCGGAAATAACGCGTAGAATAGGCTTCCTCTTCTCTGCCTCGCACGTATACTGAACATTTAAGAGGCAAACAACACCAAAAGATGCAGCAACAGTAACAGCCATGCTGTCCCAGGGAGGAGAGCTCTGGGAGTGTTTAGTAAATGCTGCTTCTTACTTGCTCAGTGACTGGTGACCAGGTCCCACAGCTGACCACCTGTGTGTGTGTGTATGTTTGCATGCATGCACCTGCTTGCAAGTGTGTGTGTGCGCGCGCATACACACACACATAGGTCAGAAGGACACCACAGGTGTGCGCGCGCATACACACACACACACACACACACACACACACGCACATAGGTCAGAAGGACACCACAGGTGTGCGCGCGCATACACACACACACACACACACACACACACACACACGCACATAGGTCAGAAGGACACCACAGGTGTGCGCGCGCATACACACACACACACACACACACACACACACACACACGCACACAGGTCAGAAGGACACCACAGGTGCACTTCAGCTACTGTCTACTTTTGTATGATAGATTCTCTTACTGGCCTAGAACTTGCTAATAAGCAGGCTAAGGCTGGCGGGCATTGAGTCCCAAGGATCTGACTATCTCTACTCCCCACCTGCTGCTAAATTACAAGTGTGTACCACTACACTCAGCTTTTTATAATATGGGTTGTTGGGCTCACACACAAGTTTCATGTACTTGCGAGGCAAGGATCTACTGGCCGAGCCGTCTCCCTAGACCGTGAGAAACTGTTAGTATATACGCTAAGGGTAAGAACCCCAATCTCAACCCTCACTGGTGGCTGAGCGAGGCGCCGTCTATGAAGTTTCTGGCCTTATGCTCAGCACATTGCCCTTGTACATCTCCGACCTGTGTCTCTAAAAGCTGGATGCTGTATCAACCTCCTCCCTGCCTCCCCGCCCAGCCTTGTGCTGCCTTCCCCAAGCTCCCTGCCCTTTTCAGATTTCTGGCCCTGAATGAAATTCTTTCCCCCCTTGTTGCATTCTCCAGGCCCCCCTCGCCCCAGCTCCCCTCTCCTTCCCTCTCCTCCCATCCATTCTCTGCCCAAGTTGTGTTTTTCCTTGAAGAAAAGCCCCAGTCTATTTTGCTAAAAGCCATCAGCCCACGCCATCTCCTTTACCATTTAGTGTGTAACCTCGTGTGCCCTTACATTGTCAGTGTGCGGAAAGCCCTTCAAAGGCACCATCTGGGTGTAACGTCTCTCTGTCCCTGCCATCAGCACTTCCCGAAGAACATGCTAGGTATGCTTAGTAAGTACTCGCAGAATGCTTCCTAAAAAAATGAGCCCCGGCCTCCTCAACTTCAAAGTGTTCCTTTATCTATGACATGTGACAGGACAAGAAGACTAGCAGGAAAACATGACTCTAGGGGACTCTGAGATAAGAGGCCAGGCCTGTGGACAAGGTCACCTCTGCTGGACCCTGGCCCTGGTGATGCGGTCTCAGGTGACCCTCTGGAGCCTGTGGAGCTGCTGATAAACTGCTGGACCACTGATTGGCCAGCTCTTGGGCCCCTGGAGATGCATGTCATCCCACATCCTGCCGGCCTGATGCCAATGGATCCACTTTTTTCTACTGGTAGAGCCTGCAGTAGAGCCAGCATCCCTGCCAGCATCTTCTCTGATAGTTAGTGATGCTTTCCTAGAGCTTGGGCCTGAGGGTGACCTCATGAGGTGTCAGAGAAGTCTGAGAGATGAAGGCTAAATTGAAATTGAGGGTTATAAAAAAGTAAGAGGGTGGAGGGCCCTTTGTAAACTGTTTCAAGATATCTGTGTCCCTGACTCTACTCCATCTCTGTGGCTGACATCTCTGCGTGCTCATGGGCTCAAACCTCAGACCGAAGAATGCTCTTCAGTGCCCCCCTCCAAGATATCCAATTATCTCTCTTCCTTCTTCACCAGCGTCCCTCTCCTGACAATCTCCCATGTCCACTCTTCCTCCCATTATCTCTTTTAAGTTTTTAAAATGACCTTCTGGCCTCAGAAGTTCCCCCGAACTCCTCTTTTTTTCTAACCCATACTCTGTGTTATCAAAGTCAGAGTGATATTTTAAAAATATAAATAAAATCATGTCACTCTCTCATTCAAAGCCCTCAGAGGGCCTCCAGTATTCCCTCACTCTAGAAAGAATATGATGGTTCCTCAAGAAAAAAAAACAATGTAGAGCCGTCATATGATGATGGGATTCCACTTCTGAGAACATAATGAAAAATAAATGGCAGGGTCTCACACACTCCAAGGACTGGAAGACAGGGTCTTACACACTCCAAAGACTGGAATGTAAGGTCTTATACCCTGCAAGGAATAGGATGCAGGGTCTTACATACTCAAAGAATAGAAGGCAGGGTCTTACACACTCCAAAGAATAGAAGGCAGGGTCTCCAAGATGTGCACATATTCATAGGCACAACTGCACAGCCACATCTGTCAAATGCTGATTGACAGAGAAATGGGTAAATACACGTGGTACGTGCGAATGATGGCACAAAAAGGAAAGACATTCTGCAAGGTTACAGCATAGATGGCCCGTGGATACTGTGCTACGTGTAATTAGCCAGTCACAAAAAGACAAATACTTTATTTTTGAGACAGGTACTCAGGTTGTAGTTCATGCTGGCCTTGGATTCACTATGTAGCCCACTCTGGCTTCTAACTTTTGACTGTTTTTCCTTAGTATCCCAAATGCTGGTTTGATAGGAATGTGCTACCATGCCTTTCTGCATGAATACTGTATTATATTAGGAGTCTATTTATGTGAATTTAACTATTTGTTCTGCTTAGAGGTGGCAGATTCATAGAGGCAGAAAGAATAGCTACAGGGGGTTACGCTGTGGGAATCGTTGGTTTTTATAAATATAAATAACTTGGGACCAAATTTCACTACAATGTGAATGAACTTACCACTACTAAATTATATACTTAAAAACGGCTAAGATGATAAATGTCAGCTATGTTTTAATTACCACAGTTTACAAACCTCCACTTTGTGTAACCTACAGGTCTCCTCCGGATCTAGTGACCCAGTTACCCCCTAGTTAGCCTCCTCTCTTGAAGACCCTATGTTCACTTGCATCTGCTGTTCCGTTGGCCTAGTCGTCTCTTTTCCTGGAAGAAAATTTGCAAGGCTGGAACATTCTTGGAGTCAGGTCTTACTTCATATTGGTCCTCCAATCCCCTCTTGCTTTTTGTAACTCCCACCTTGGACTTTTATGATCGGATCAGTCTTGAGGACAGTGACATTATCCACATCTCTGACCTGTAATTTGACTGTACTCTGAGGCTGGGAGAGTGCTTGCCACAAGACAGGGTTCTGTAGCTGAGGCAGGGTATTTTTTTCCGGACACACTTCTGATTGGCTCTGAGGAGAGCATGTGCGCTTAGCTGTTTCCCTCATGCAGTGTGTCTGAGTTAGGCTGGACCAGCTTTGATTGGCTCAGTTTGATGGAGACTGGCCTGATGTGGGACGAATTTGATTAATCGTCATAGAGATTAAATTACTGACTTTGAATCCAACACATTTTGTGTGTGTGTGTGTGTGTTTCTTTCATGCTTAAAGCATTAGGGGAGGGGTGTAAAAGTCTGTAGATGATGAGACACATGATTTGTCCTGTAGTGCTTCCATTCTGACATGATGAAGATGTGACTGGCCAGGCCATGGAGGATGGTAGAAGTGACCAGAGAATGGGCTGAGAGGACTTGTGGAAAGATGTCTTCCTGTTAGCCAGAGAGATTTAGAAAGATAACCTCACTCGGCGGCAGACACCACAACCAAAAGCAACTTGGAGAGGGAAGGGTTTATTTTGGCTTATAGGCTACAGCCCATCACTGATGGAGATCAAGACAGGAGGATTTGAACTCGGGGGTCAATGGAGAAATACTCCTCACTGGCTTGTTCCCATGGCTTCCTTCTGTCCTTCCTTCCTTCCTTCCTTCCTTCCTTCCTTCCTTCCTTCCTTCCTTCCTTCCTTCCTTCCTTCCTTCCTTCCTGGAACTCATTATGTAGACCAGATTGGCCTCTAACTCACAGAGATCCTCCCGCCTCTGCCTCCCGAGTGCTGGGACTAAAGGCGCATGCGCCCCCCCCCAGAGGATCACTCTTCAACCTTTCCTAAACATCCCAGGCCCAACTGTTCAGGGATGGCACTGCTCACAGTGGACTGTGTCCTCCTACATCAATTAGCACGAAATGCCTCACAGAAGTGCCCACAGGCCAATCAGAGGGAGGTGATTATTAAAATTCTGCAATCAGTATTCATTCTTCTTAGGTATGTCTGTGTTTACGTTAAATTGACAAAAACTAACAGCACAATCTACCCCTCCCCCCATCAACCTGACATATAAACACATTACTATTAGAGCATAATCTTTCC